TAAGGCTCATTCACTCAGCACTCTATGAAAAGAATTGTCAATGCTATGGAAGAGAACCCCACTAGAGAGAACATCGTGAGAGTCTGGAAGCATTGCATCACTGAAGGTGACATCGTTGTTATAGAAAAAACTGTGAAAGCCATCGTACCGGAACAATAAATTCCTGCTGGAGAAAACTGTGTCCAGATGTCGTGCATGACTTCCTAGGATTATGACACAGCCAATAAAGGAAATCATGGCAGAAATTGTAGATCTGGTCAAAAAGAAAATGTGGGGGTGAAGGGTTTCAAGATATGGATGTTGTAGAAATTCAAGAGCTAATGGACACCACACCAGAGGAATTAATAGAAGACAGCGTGATGGAGAGGAGTGTTTCTGAACCAGTGCCAGACAACGAGGAAGAAAACGCAGAGGTGGTGTCGGAGACAGATTGACATTAGACAGTCTGGCAGACGTGTTCTGGCTGTTCAAGACCGACTTCTTGGGACGTGGACCCTCTGTGAAACAAACAAGTGGAAAAAGGATTGATACTATTTAGAAACAGTTACAGAGAAATGAAAAAGCAAAAAAGTCAGACAGAAATTACAGTGTATTTCTGTAGAGCGCACTAAACGTGTCTGCCTGTCCTGCCTCCCCATCTGCTTCCTTCCCCTTTTCTGCCCGGCCCACCTCTGAGACAGCAAGACCAACCCCTCCACCGCCCCCCCCACCCCTCGTCCTCCTCTTCCGCCTACTCAACATGAAGACAAGAGGAAGATCGTGATGATGGTCCACTTCCACTTAATGAATAATGAATGATCATCATGCCATATAGTTAATGAACTTAACTGCTGTGTCTTATGTGCTAATAACTAATAAATGTTTTAACTGTACGGAACTGGGGGACATTTTTGTGTCGTCATCGTTTAAGGATTCATCGTGTAGCGTGTTGTGTGCAAGATTGGTGTGGGTGTGGACAGCCTGTCCTCGTGTTGGCGCAAGGTGAGTGGTGTTTAACTTAGAATTATTAACATGTTAGGGGTGTTACTATTTTATAACTTTGCTTTTAAAGGGTTATGTTACTATACCTCATGCTTCTCTTGCAACTGGAGAAACTAAGTATCAGCCTATCATCACAGGTGAGTGGCTTTTAAAAAATGTAACAGTGTCTTCAGTGTATTGTATTATGAATATGACTGTAGCACCATGTGACAAAAATTTTATAATGGTTAAGTCACTAATGTATAAGCTAGTTTATTGTGAACCAGTAGTATCAATTATACATGGTTACCATAAATCAGTTTATTGCTACTTCTTCATTATCAATGCATGAATTGTTATACCCGGTAAATAAATATGAGTTTCTTTTTCACAACGTCTTATTTTTGATGTCTAGTGTTAGTAACATATATAATATTACAGTGTATCGTGTAGGGCAGTATTGACGTAAGCACTGACAGATGACATAAACTTACAGTATGGATAAATATAGTACAATACTGTAAATGTGCTTTCTTATTACTTTAGTAATCACAGTTTCTTTTCTCTAGCTTGCTTTATTGTAAGAATACAATATATAGTACAAACAGCATAAAAGACATATTAATTGACTGGTTATGTTTTCAGTAAGACTTCTGGTCCACACTAGGCTGGTCATAAGTTTTAGGGGAGTAGAAAAGGAATCTGCAGGTTTTTAACTGCATGGGGGACCTGGGGGCAGGTGCCCCTTGCTCCCACATTCTTCCCTGGTTCACCGTACTTGGCTGCAAGAATCAGAAAAATAATGATCCTCCTGTTATTCAGAGTAGACAGGCATCTACTTCACATCTGTCTTCGCAGTGTATTTTTTCAGTAGCACATTTATTTTAATTATACCATATTTTGTCATGTATAATGCACACTTCTTTGCCCAATTTTGGAGGGAAAAACAAGTATGCACATTATATATACTTATACTTTATAAGTATGGGTAGTACTAATTCTCTATATAAATGTTTTTAATTCTTTTATTTGTGCTTATGTGCTAAAAGTGTAACTCTAGAAAGCAGTAACAATATCCGAGTGCAGAATAAAACTCTGGAATATGATCATCTGTTTTGTTTCTAAATGTAAACAAATAATTGAATTAAAAGATGAAAGCAAAAGATTTTTTTCCTGAAAGTTTGGGCCAAAATTGTGGGTGCACATTATAAATGGTAAAATATGGTCATTATTACATTAGAAAGCTAGTTATTTTCTGAAGGATATATCACCTGGTAAACGTGGCAGGTATTCTGTATTGTTTCACATTAAATTAGATCACTCAGTTTATTGTGTTAGTGTGGAATTTTTTGTATGAAAGCAGCAGTTTTGAAAATGCTGTTGGTGCCTTCCACGTCTTCAGTTCTGTTGGCCGTAGGCACTGTTACCTTCACAGAAACGATGTCTGGATTTCTAGTGGATGTGTCTCAGTGATTCTTCTTTAGAGGATCTGTTTCATTTATTTCTTCAGAAGACGGTATTTATAGCTGTGATTAATGTATGAATATCTATCACAAACCAAAATAGACACTTTTTTTTTTTTGCTAACTTGGTTTTTTAAACTTAAGTCTGTTTTTAAGCTCTGGTAGACTGTACAGTTAGAGATTCTGTAAGTCTTTTTTTTTCCCTTTTCCGCTCCACAACTTCCTTTTAATCTTCACATGACTGATAAATAACACACTTTAAAAAAAAATCGCCCTGGCTGGTGCGGCTCAATGGATTGAGCATCAGCCAGAGAGCCAAAGGGTCGCTGGTTCAGTTCCCAGTCAGCACATGCCTGGGTTGCAGGCAGGTCCCCAGTAGGGGGCATGTGAGAGGCAACCACAGGCTGATGTTTCTCTCCCTCTCTTTCTCCTTCCCTACCCCTCTCTAAAAAAGTATATACATAAAATCTTTTTAAAAAATAAAAAATATATATTAGTGTAATATTATGCCATACCTTGCGGGTTCAGTATAGTGATGCTTTTCCTGTTTATTAATCTGTTGGAAATTAAAGTGTGGTTATGTGATAAATTAACTGTTCACATTTTCATAGCAAATCGAAACAGCATTTAAACCTTATCATTTTTATTGTATTAGTGGGAGTGACTTGTTGGACATCGATTTAAAACTCAGCTGCTTTTTCACTTATAGTAGATAATTCATGATAATTCAACGAAGTCCACATCCTTTTTAGTAAGAGGTCTATTTCTTAGTGATTAAAATAATGCCGAACATTGCTGTATGTTGCTTACAGGAACAGATATGTTTTAAATATTCATCTTCAGTTTCTGTGCATTTTATAGAAGGATGCCTTCAGGCTTGTGAATGCAGGGCTTTGTGTCTGCAGTTCTGCCTGGCGGCCTGTCTCCCGTTTATCTTCCAGTGGATGAGGACGAAGCCACTGCCTCGCGCCTGTGCTGTAGAAAACTAATGTGCGCCTGCGCCTCCTGGAGTTCACAGAAGGGGTGGACTGCAATGGTGCCGCCTGTCCCTCCTCGGAGTGGTCACAGAAGGGGTGGACTGAAAATGTGTGCCGCCTGTGCCGCCGCCTCCTCGGGAGTGGTCACAAGGGGTGGACTGAAAATGTGTGCCGCCTGTGCCGCTGCCTCCTCGGGAGTGGTCACAGAAGGGGTGGACTGCAAATGTGTGCCGCCTGTGCCGCCGCCTCCTCGGGAGTGGTCACAGAAGGGGTGGACTGCAAATGTGTGCCGCCTGTGCCGCTGCCTCCTCGGGAGTGGTCACAGAAGGGGTGGACTGCAAATGTGTGCCGCCTGTGCCGCTGCCTCTCGGTTTCGTTTTCCACTTGTGGTCGCTATTCTAAAATCTGTTTACATTGATCAAACAGTGCTGTGATTCAGCTGCTTCCACTACCTGGAATGAAACTGAGGATCAGTAAGGAAAGGAAACTGTGCGGCCTATTGGGCACAAAAACTCGTGCACTTCAAGCCTCGCAGATAATCAGGTTTATCAAAAATGAGAGAGATGTACAGCTTACGGCAATCGTGTGTTACTTTTTAATTTTTAAATCACCAGGAATTTAATGGTAACACCAGTAGTGACAACAATACCACAAGCTGAAAACACACCTTTTAAAATGGGTACAAATCGTAGTCATAAAATTGTCTATGCCCTTTAGTCTACTAATTCTGAGATAGTGATCCTAAAGAATTCGTCTGAAATGTAGAGCAAAGGCTGTATACACAGGAACGTGGAACAGTGTTTGTGATCGATTACTCAGCAAAACCATAGGTACAGTTGTCTTTAAACTGTAGTTACCTCGACATGCCTGTAACAAAAACATTAGACACAGATTTAAAATTCTTAAACTGTATTAGAGTAGTTTTCTCTGTGTAATAATGCAAATGCAAAGAGCAGTACTTTGTGTGTGTGTGTGTCCCACCACAAGCTCAGAAAAAACAAGAGGCCAGAATTTTTTCTGTTGATTATTCTCTTTAGGGAATGGAATGATGGTCTATTTTTAATTTAATTGTATTTCTTTTGTTTTCCAATTATCCCAGTGGGACAGGAGGAGTTTAAGCTGGTTTTGTTTTTTGTTTATTTTATTCATTACTTGTGTATCTCTGTTTTCAACCAGAAGCATGTACATGAATGTGAATAGCACAGCCATCGGGGTGGGGTAGGTGTCCTGTGGGCCCTGAGGCCTCACTGCGGCCAGAGCGCCTGGTTCTCCCAGAAGGAGCCCTGGACAGCTGTGTTCACGTGCTCGTCAGCGTTCCTGTTAGGGTACTTCATGGCAGTTTTGGTCTCTACATGGATGAACCCTCAGCTGTTGAAAAACTGGGCTGACCATTCAACTCACACTCAGGCCCTGGGGAACTGAGGTTAGACAAACAATTTCTCTGACAGACTTCCACAGTGAGCCTGTTTTAGAGTCTCTTGTAAGAAGGGAGGCAGAAGCAGTTGTGTTGCTGTGGAAGAGATTATGAGGAATTTTAGTCACTTGTAAGAGGGACTTGTTTTGCCCTTTTGATCCAGTGTGGCTCCTCTCTGTCCCACAGCTGGCCCTAAAGGACCCGGTGCACACAGTCTCCCTGCAGCAATTCATCTATGAGAAGCTCAAGTCCCAGCAGGAGCTACTGGGAGAGCAAGGCTTCCAGTCCCTCATGGAGACAGTGGACACAGAGATTGTCACCCAGCTCCAGGAGTTTCTGCAGGGCTTCTGAGAGCACATGGCAACGCTTGGCCGCCTCCCCTTCCCGCAAGCCAGGGCACCGGCCTGCCGTCTGCGTGGAAGAGCCTGCTGAGACGTGATGAGACACTGTGCATGGAAATGTAGAAGCCAAGACCACACTCTTTTCTACTACAAAATTCAGTGAATAAATGTGAATTCCACACAGCTAAAATCACAAACGTATTCCTTAAAAGAATTTAATTTTCTATTTATGAGGAACTCTGTGCTTACTAGATATAGATTTAATGACAGTAGCCACTTAGTTTCCTGTTAAAGAGAAGAAAGTATTTGATTACTTTTAAATCATGTGCTCTTAACATTTGAGAAGATGAAGGGTAATATCTGAGATGCTTTTCTGCAACCAAAATTAGTTAAATTTGGCTGCCTTATCCCTTTTTTAAGCTAATAAAACTAGTTTGAAAAATGGCAAAGCTGTTCAGATGCAAATAAAGAAATTTGTGTACCAGGCAACACTGTATAAATAGTGACAAATATACACTGCAAGTGAGTTACTTTCATCTGCCATAGAAAATGTGTTTTATCAGGCAAATGCTTTTATTTTCATTCTAGTAATTTGATACGGGAATTAGTAAAGGGGTGTTTTTCCCCTCATTTTATGTGGAGTATTTACATTTAGTCTTTAAATGCACACTGTAAGGCCGGCAGTATGAGGAGGGAGACGTCCCTCGGGTCGTGATTTGGTCCCGATTCCTTTGTTCCTCGGAAGGCCTGGAGCCCTGCGGACACCGAGAAGACCCACGCTGTGACGTGGCTGTTGGGCTCTCAGCCACGAGTGCTGGGCACAGGCTCCCGAGTGCCGGGCTGCACCTCGGAGGACCCAGCGGCAGTCCCCAGGGTGCCAGCACGGACGTCACAAGTCTTCCTGTTCCGCCAGCACGCAGCACCAAAACAGGGAAAAGGGGGGAAGTCAAAGCCTTACTGTGTTTTACTTGCCATTTATTGTAAGGAACCTTTAAAGCATTTTTAGGAAATATTCAAAAACTACATTTCTGTGCAAAGTTGGGTACAGTATATACTGCTGCCCCTTTGTAAGCTGTGGAATCAGTATGGCAATGTGGAAGTTTCAGCAAAAGAAAGGAAATATGGTCCAAATTAAATTTTCCAAAGATACCCTACCTTTGATTGGTCTGATTATTTTTCTTCACCAAAAAAACAAACAAACAAACAAAACAAAAGAGTTAATAAAAATTGCCCAGTGAATTTGAAAGGGAAGCTTGCTTTCAGGCTCTGGTGGTGGCCCTGTCCTAAAAGTCGGCAAGTCCTGGTTACCCTTTCAATTTCTATTTTCATTAAAGACTAAAAGCTTCGCTACTTGGCTGTTACTTTATTACTCACTATGCAAGACAGATCTAAGGCTTATTTCTTTTTGTCGACTTAATTATTTTCATTTGAAGCACTATTCTCATTAGTGATTATCAGAAATTCTCAAACGTGCTCAAGTTTTCCAGTTATGGTGAAGTGTTCATCTTTCCAGTTATGGACAGATTACATTATAGTATTATACAAAATACTACTAAAATAGCTACTTTGAAAATAAAAAAGTTATCTATGGGAAAGAGTTGGGTTTTTTTGGTTGGTTTTTTAATCAAAGGTTAAAATAGGCTTTGTGAATAGCTCAGAAAAAAAATTCGTGTATCTTAAATTTTTTAAGTTCTCAACTAAGACATAAAATGTAACTGTTGCTTTATGGAATTCTGTTAATGCAGCCTTCCAGCAAACTTGTTAGGTTTTGGACAAACAACCGAGCCAGGCCCCCGCTTGAACTGTGGCTCTTAATAGGAGGTCTGCGCCCCCCCCCCCGCACATTCTCCTTTCCTCTTATTTCACATTCCAGAGTTCTCCCACCCCCTGACGAAGGCCCAGTGGCTAACAGTAACATTTTTAAGTTTTTGCAAGTTGTTCCTTTCCCTCCCTCCCTCTCTCACACATACACACACATTTGAGGAGCCACATCCTTATATGTTAAAATATGTTACAGTTTCCATCGAAAAGTCTTCCCATTGGGTCTCTATTTTACCTGATTTTACCTGTTCCTTTATTCAGCTGGGATAGGCTGAGTTTCTGTTTAGTGCCACAGTGCCCGGCTAAATGCTGGGGCCAGGACAGTGCACTCACCTCACGAACTCCGCCGTCCGTGGGGACACACAGCAGCATGACATGAGAAAGCGGCGGTTCTGGTGGTAGCATGTGTTCAGAAGCTCCTGGGGAAGAAGGTTGTTATGGAAGAGCAGGGTGCTGGCCCTGTTTTGTTTGGTGTCCATTGAAAAACTGCTATCAAACAGCACGATTTGCTGAGGTTATTGAAAAGTAAAGGTCACGATTCTAAAACTGGGTATCTCTCTGGTTCCAGACCCAGACCTGTTTGAAACTACTCTGCTCATCGGTGAGATCTTGAGAATGTTGGAAGCTCTATAACCTCACAACTAATTCCTAATAACCTGAATTAAAACACGAGGTTCACTAAGTGTAATGGGCTTCAGTTCTACCAACTTTATGAATCCCAGCCAAGTAGAAATGTGAGAGTTGTTTCAGAGAGCTGGTGAGAGGAAGGCAAGAGATCCATGTCGTGAAAGACAAAACTAGTTTCTTCTCCCAGTCTTAGAACATGAATTTGGATCTATGAGAGCGGTGAAAGTATCACGAACACCAGGATACTACTCGTTGTTAGGATTCACCAAATTCTTTAATTTTGCCACATTTATCTCTCTGTGCATATACACACACATACATGTTGTATGCACTTAATTTTGTTGAATCATTTGAAAGTAAGTTGCGTACCCTGCACCCCTGGTACTCAGCATACCGCTAAGAATAGCATTTCTCTACATGCCCACTAATTACTGTGTACCTAAGAAAACATTAATAAGCAGTTTGAGTTCTGATTTTCCCAAATGCCCCAAAGGTGTTTCTTACATGATGCTTGTTTGTTTTACCATCCAGAATTCATTGAACATTTGCACATTGGATTTGGCTGTTTAGTTGTGAAATCTGGAATAGTCCTTTTTTCGTGTCTTTTTTCATTGGCTTTTCTAAAGAATCCGAGACAGTTGTCTTATAGGATGTGTGTTATTGTGCAGCTCTAATTGTTTTCTCCCGACTGGATCCAGTTTAGTGTTCCTGGCCGCCTGACCTCATCAGTAGTGTTTGCTTGTCCTGGCAGCACCTCCGGAGGCAGTGATGTCGGGTTGTCTCTCCGCCGATGCTACAATGGTTAAGGTGAAGCAACATGATAAATACAAGTTTTCAGAGAGAACCTTACAATCCTAGAAATTTCCACTGGTGGTTTTGGTTTTTTTACCTTAGAGCTCTTAACCACTACTAGCTTGCCTTTCATTCCAAAAGAGTTCTGTAATTTTATGTTAACCTAAAAAAGTCGTGTGACTGAGCAATGTAAGAGCTGTATTGAACCTGGCAGTTCCTCAGTCTTGTCTCTTAAGCTCCATCGTGGGGAGGGCACACCTCTCAGCCAGGAGTCATTGACTTCTCTTCCCCCCTTCTCCTTCCCTCTCCCACTCTGCCCCCTCCCCCTTGTGTTTTAATAGGCACGAGCTCTTTGTGAATGCCAGTGGTACCTGAACTCACCACGGAGTGTGAAGGAATGAAGGCAAGCATCACCTTGCTCATTTCATTAGCAAATCAACCTTTTTGGATTTGTAGACTGTTGGCAAAAAAGCAAACATGCAGGAATATTTTTTTAACTTTATCATATTTGGGCTGAGGGTAAAGGGCAGAAACAGGCCTGGCTTTAGAGTATTTTAGTGTGATTTAGGATGAAAAGCTATACTATATCCACTGGCAAAATGAGAGAAAAGGAAATAATGATTTCCTTGAATGTGAAGCTTTGATGTCGGTATTGGCCTTGGACTGTGACATGTGGGACGGCAGTTTAAAGTCACCTTTCTTCCCTTCTGAAACTGCATGCCGTCCACATGCATCCAGATTAGACAGAACCTAGTGTCTCATGAAGTGCTGCAGACTAATCCATCTGGTTATCGAACTTGAACTTGCCCACCGTCCCCTGCTGTTGTCTGAGTTGAGCTTTGGAGTCCTCAGGGTGAGTACCCAAATGCCCTGGAAAAGCACCAGAGGTGTTGGTTTGAATTTCTGTTTTTACTTCTGGGCAGTGAACTCCTTATCATTGAACCACTTGGATAAAATACAAAAGTCATTGACTGCGTTTTTTCTTGAATTCTTTCTTACCTTAACAGGCAGAGAGTGCCCTATTAACCAAAGATCTTTAACAAAGCAAGATTTGCTCACTGTTCCAGCTAATGCTTGCATCTAACTCATTTGGGCCTGTTTGAATTTATTTAGCCAGTTGTGCTTTGGAGAACTAATTCAGGGAGGAATGTATCGATGTCTGGTCATCTGGCCCTTTTTAGCTTCAGGGTGAAACATTGATTTTCATGGCACTTTTATTTCCCAGTAGAGCAAAAATAGAATGCAAGTAGCTGCTAGAACAGGTATGAGTTCAGCAAAGCTTAAAGCATTTATATCTGTCTGCCCCTAGGCAGATGGTTTTAAAGTTGGAAATTGGCCTTATGAGTAAAATTCTTGTTGGGCACTTTGATTGCAAAAGGTTAGAGCAGCCAAATCTGGAGATAAGACTGAGTGTTTCTCAACAGCTTTACCTCATGCAAGATCAGCACCTCATTTCAGAAAGGGCAGGTCATTTCCACAGTGCTCTCTAGGCTAACCACAAAGGGCCTTTTTCTTTTTTTAATGAACACTGCTACTCAAGCAGTAATTCAGAAGAGCAAAACTTTTTGATTGACAGGGAAGTCGTAGCTCATAAATGTGTACGCTGAGCTCAGAAGTGCATTGACAGCAAGCCAGGGAAGGAGAGTCCATTGACGGACCTGCAGGTGATCACAAGCTAATTATGAGCTCTACTGAGGCAAGGACGGCAGCTCAGTTTATTTCTTCGTTGGATTGAAAGGCACATTTCTTGTGCTGTCTCTGCAGTGAAATCAATACCGTGAAATGGCCTTTTCAGCCTTATCGGTTGTTTACTACAGCACAATGCATTGAGAAATGCTGAACCAGGTGAGCAAATCCAATAGTTTATTATTATAGAGAGTCAGCACAAATAATGCCCTTCTTTTTTATTACAGAATCATAAGCATGTAACTCTGACACATTACAATAGCACACACACCATATAACTTTTTAGGTGAAGTGTTCAAACTAAAACTATAAATTGTGCACCTATATTCTTACCCTACCAACCACGCTCAAGCAGGCCTCACTTCTGCTGGACCCTGTACTTACGAGATAACCTTGTGGAAACCCAAATTTACTGAAGTAAGAGATTAGAGAATTGGTTACTTTAAAAGTCCTAGTACCTTTCTAAAGGTACTTTCTTGTAGGTATCACTTGTAGATTTTCTTGAACGTAGGCTGTTTATTTAATTTGTATTATATTTTTTAATATATTTTATTGATTATACCATTACAGTTGTCCCATTCCCCCCTTCATTCCCCTCCCCCCTGCACACCCCTCCCCCCCACAATCCCCCCCTTTAGTTCACGTCCATGTGTCATAAGTTCTTTAGCTTCTACATTTTTCCACACTACTCTTGCCCTCCCCCTATTTTCTCCCCACTCTCTATGCTACTTATTCTCTGTACCTTCTTCCCCCCTTCTCCTTCTCCCACTCCCCTGTTGCTAACCTTCCCAGTGATCTCCATTTCTGTGGTTCTGCTCCTGTTTTAGGAGTCTGCTTAGTTTGCTTTTGTCTTAGGTGTGGTTGTTAGTTACTGAGTTTGCTGTCCATTCACTGTTCATATTTTTTATCTTTTTCTTAGATAAGGTCCTCTAACATTTCATATAGTAAGGGCTTGGTGATGATGAACTCCTTGAACTTGACCTTATGTGAGAAGAGCTTTATCTGCCCTTCTATTCTAAATGAAAGCTTTGCTGGATAGAGCAATCTTGGATGTAGGTCTTTGGATTTTATGACTTGGAATACTTCTTTCCAGCCCCTTCTTGCCTGTAAGGTCTCTTTTGAGAAATCAGCTGACAGTCTGATGTGAACTCCTTTGTAGGTGACTGTTCCCTTATCTCTTGCTGCTTCTAGGATTCTCTCCTTCATTTTCATCTTGGGTAATG